TTTGACATATTTTGATATAAAAAATAAAATATCTTGTAAAATATTTAGTTTTCGATAATCTTACCGTAATACTTTTATGTTCAGAATAATGAGACAAATCAATTAGTGTAAAAAAATAATTGTTTTTAAGAAAAATTATGTAATTATTTACAATGTATTTTTTTAAACAATTATTTGGTTTTTTCTTTACACTGATTGATTTGTGTTATTATTCTGTACATAAAAGTATTACGGTAAGATTATCGAAAACTAAATATTTTACGAGATATTTTATTTTTTATATCAAAATATGTCAGATTAAAATATAAAATAACTCAAAAAGTATAAAATGAAAAAATACTTTATTATAGTGTTTTGGAAAGCTCTCGAGGTAAGCTATAAGAATATGTAATGAAAAATAGAGGGTTCCATTTAAAAAATTCAAAGTGATTTTTATGTGACCTTGACGGTGCTATTCAAGGTCATACTGATATTATTATATAATGCGCCACTTAGAGCTCTACAACTTCTGCATGAAACATTTTTCACGAAAATGCGTTGTTTCCTCAAAAAACTGCTGATACGGGCGCTCTGTTACACTCTGTATATATTTTTAAAGCAAAATAGAACATATACGCCTACAAAGAAAAAAAAAAACAGAATAATAATAAATTCTCAGTAATTTAAAATTAATTAGAAGTGATTTAATAGATATAGTAAAATAGATGTAAAAATAAGTTTTAGTTATAAACCAAGAGATTAAATCAATTCTATAAGCATTAAACTGTAATAATTCAAGTTATTTAAATTATACATACGTAATATAATATATAAGAAATAGAATATCTGAATTAAAATCAATCAAATCAAGAAAACAGAATTAGAACTAACATAAGAAGTAAAAATTTTGTTGAAATTGTTGAAAAATGATATAATAAAGGGAAAAATAGTATATAAGTGTGTATATGTACATATAGGAGGACAAAGCAGATTTAAGCGTAAGAATTCGCAATATAATGCATAAGACTCATGTGCGTCATTGTTTAAGTTTATGATTGTCGTACTCAATTTTAACTATGCGGTTAGTAGACTGCGCAATATTTCTGACCGATTTATATTCTAGATAAACAGAATGCTGATTTGTGTATAGGAAAGATTTGTGAAGGGCATCACATGACTAATTTTTATGCACAAATCTGCATATAATCTAATTTTGTTTATTTTCATAAGGCACGTTGATAAATATGTTCGAGAATATAATGTTATTTAGAAAGCCTATATATATAACATTTGTGTTCTCTATTATAACATTAAGCAGAAAATATTCTTATTTATTCTAAAATTCTTTATATAGAATAGATAAAATGCATAATACTAAAGAAATAATGCTGCTTATCAAAAAAAAATCGATTTTCTATTAGTAATTTATGTTTATCATGATTTATATATATTTTGAAAATAAGATATAAATGTAAGGCAAAAATGGCAAAAAGAACCAAGCGCAGTAATGAGAGCGCAAAAATATTTATATATTTTGTATATCAATGAAATGCATATCATGTCATAGTATCATACATTGAGCGCTGTGTGAGCATTTTTACTTTTATTATACACACATTTTCAATAGCCTTAATTATTTTATAAAACTAATCTTTCATTCTATTCATTTATATTTGTATAATAAATACCTGTAATGAGAATTGACTGTCCGGCGTAAAATTTTTGTATCGGCGTCTTATGTATTTCAGTTTCATTGTTTCGATCGTAATCCATGATTTTTTAAAAGTTACCACAAAAATTAACAAATAAGTGACACTTGTTCACAAGTGTGGAACACTGAAAGATCTTCCGACTTTCTCGAGCAAAGTTTCAGTTGATACAATTACTAGAACTGTATTGAAGAGATGATGTTGCCGTATATATATGTTACGTTTATACAGGGTGTAAAAGAAGTTATCCTTTTTAGTTTCTTAAAATGAAAGAGATAGCCTGTTTACGCGAGAAAGCTTGACACGTGATGCTTGACGCGCGTCAACGATTCGTTCCCTGAAGTAAGGGGGGTACATGAAAGTGCACCAATTGGCCATGGATATACTCATAGACATAGTATATCTAGACCGAGTGTTGAGGAGTGGGAGCCGATGCCCACGTAGAAAAGGACATACTCTGTTTCGTGACCCTTGCGTTCTCTCTCGCTCGCACGTAGCATGACGAAAGAGAGCGCTATGCTAAGAGAACGCAAGGGGCACGAAACAGAGTATGTCCTTTTCTACGTGGGCATCGGCCCCCACTCCTTAAATAAAGGCAAACGCTCGGTCTAGATATACTATGTCTATGGATATACTTCTATGTACCCCCCTTACCTCCGGGAACGAATCGTTGACGCGTAGTGTACAAGACAAAGTATTTTTGGTGTAATTATTATGTACAAAAAATAAATATTTGTCTATAAAATATATTGTTGCACTTATTTACAAAAATGTCAATCTACATAGAGTATTTTTACTAAATATTTTTACTAAATAAATTTTATTCAAAATTTTGATTAAATTCAAAAGGCACAAAAAGCGAAGCTTGCTTCGTATTTAGTAAAAATACTCTGTACATAGACATTTCTGTAAATAAATGCAACAATATATTTTATAGATAAATATCTATTTTATACATAATTTAAA